ATTTAATCTGCCGTCTAATTTACAAGATCTAGAGACTCCTACGACAAGTCATTGAACGTACAAAAGCATAACACTGTAAAAGCCACTCAAAATGTCGTTCCAAGTCAATATTCCGCGAGCGCGACTTTTCTTAATGTCATTGTACCATTTCCGGCGGGTATGCACGCTTTTAAACTAGATGGTGTTGTATGGCTCGCATGTTTGTTTTCACTTTCATTTAACACAAAGCTCACCTTTTTTATTACTACATCCATCAGCGGAGGATTTCAAATCCGGTATAAACCTTTCAACCGCGACAGCTTTTCGAATTTCCCAATTCCCGCGCACTTCCTCTCATCGACCACCATACTCAATCAAGCTCGTCTTTGTCGTGAGTTCGAAAAGTCACGTGATTTGGATAGTTTGAACGGGGTCTGGGACCCATTTCACACAACGTTTTTTTGGAGACGGGAAAGGCGAAGCGAGGGTCGAGCACTTCACGCTTGGATATTACCTCTGTACAGGCCCGCAAATGATCCCGGCCCGCAAATGATCCCCGAACCGTAAATGATCCCGGGACCGGAACTGATTCCACTGCAAAAAGTTTGGAATGGCGTGGACTCCATGAAANTGTATGTATGTATGTATGTATGTATGTATGTATGTAAAAGTGTTGGGTGAAGAAAAGATAAGTACCTCAGGCATAACAGCAGTAATGAAAAACGCTTAACATACTGCGCAAAATACTAAATTGACATGTGCCGACTGCATAAATGTCTCGTTTAGGAAACGTACTGCAAAAAGAAACATGAATCTTTGAAGATGCCTCTGCCATCTAATTAACCGCTTAGAACTTTTCCCTGTACACTTCTTTTACTTGCGTCCTACATAGCCACGGGCTCCCACGAAAGTGCCTAAGATTCCTTCGTGCTAGTTGCCGTAGTAAAAATGTAGTCAATCCACTTGGGAACTCAGTTGTCTCCAAATTTAAGGATATAGTGAACATCCCGTTGTGTTATAATACATCTCAGGCCCGAACCTAGACTGCAAAAACAGCCGTATTTTTTGCGAACGTTGGCGACGGAAGGGCGACGGTCAATGTTCGAACGAAAGGTCTGGAGCGAGTGTAAAAACGGCGAGGGAGATTGGGGAGAGACGCTAAAAAATACGATGTTTTTCACGTCTCACACGCCCCACGGGAGTGTGAGGCTCGCGCGCTTCACATGCGAGGATCGCGCTTACGGCGCTTCCCGAGAACGTCCGAAAACGACTGTTTTGCAGTCTAGCCTGGACCTAATAAAGTCAAACACAGGATTTCGTGACGTTGGATACCATTTTTAAAGTTGTGAAATTTTCATTCAAATCGTTCATACTGCACATTTTCTTGCATTTCATATAGTAACTGTTGTATCGAGATATTGTATTATTACTGTCAATACCAGAAATATTTAAGGATTATTATTGTGTAGCACGGCAAAAGCCAATTAAGCAGAAAAAAAAA